TTTAATTGATAGTTTTCGAAAATGGATTTTTTAAAATAAATTGCAAGTGGTAAAAATTTAATGCTTAACTCTATTTAAATATAATGAATAAATGCTTTTGTTGTTTTCGAACTATTTATATAAATATGATTCTAACGAATGATATGAACTTGTATAAAGAATTTATTATAATACTTTTAGAGATATATCAGAATCAAATAAAAATCGAAATTAGATGTTACTGTATTTCATAAGATTAACTTTTGTATATAGTTATTACTTTATTTAATTGTATATTAGAATTATAAAAAATTTTATTATAATTATTTAATATATTTAAATAAGGTATTTAAAAGCAATAAGCGCCAACTTGCATATTTGATTTATATTTTATAATTTTATTTTTTTTAAAAAAATATAATTATATTAAAGAATTAAAATCATTAAATTCAAGATTAGAACATAAACATCTGACTTTTGCGTACACATCATCTGATAAATTATTAAGAAGTACATTAACCATAGCAGTATCAAATAATACGCTATTAGAAAAATATTGAAGCATCTTGTTAAGAAAATATATAAGGAAGTCTGTGATCAGTTTCCTTATAATTAATTTTATAAAAAAAATAATTTTTAATTTTACAAGAAGTAATTTTGTCAAGCGTTTATTAAATTAAATAATACGTATTACATTTTAATGAAAGCATTGAGAGTATTTTTGTAAAAAATTTACTCTTTTAAACTAATATAATATATATTCGTTTTTTCCACATTTATATATAAATTATAAATGATTCAAAAGTTAATGGCAAAATAGTAAAATTCTTAGGGTGGTAATCTAAACATGCTGAAATACATTAATTTATTTTCAGTAAAATCAAATTTCTAAAATTCAATAAATCGCTCATAAATTGAATTTAAATTGGAAAAAATAACACATTGAGAGAAAAAAACCCAATGACGCTAGAGTTTACCAAATCAAAACAGACACAAATCTTATTTTGATTGATATTTCAAAATAAAGTTTTGTACAGAGGAAAGATGTGATAAAAACTTAATTTATAAATCGTAAACTTTAAGTTTATAAGAACTTCATTTTATTAAACAAACAAATCATAACTCTTTATTAAATTAATAATAGTGGGTTATGATGTAGGCTTGGAAAGGTTCCCAGGTTCGATCCTGGTAGGGAACGTAAAAATTTTCGGGTTCTTCTTCGATGAATGATGTGTAAAGACATATGGTAAGATGAATTTCGGAGCTTAGAGATGATACCCCGATCCCCGATAGGCTTGGAAGCCGGGTGCTAAGGATACTTGTCCAATAAAAAAAATGAAGGACACAAATGAAACGAATATGAAAGCTAGGGCGTTTCCTCCAAGCGACGCGCAGGGTGTAGACATCCATCCTGCGAAAAGTAAAATAAAGGTCAAATCAAAGAAGAAAATATTAGCAAGTTTGAATATTGGTACACTTAAAGGTAAGATGAGAGAATTGGCATCAATGTTGAACAAGAGAAAAGTTGACATAACGTGCATACAAGAGACGAAATGGAAAGGTCAGAAGACTTTAATGATTGGAGATGATTATAAATTGTACTATAATGAAATTGTTAGCAATAGGAATGGTGTCGGCATAATCCTTAGTCAAGATCTAACCTCCTCAGTAGTAGAAGTCAACAGAATCTCTGATAGACTAATGAAGATAATGACTTAAATGCGCAGACAGCTACAAAAGGCATCATGGTGGTTCAAACCACTATAAAGGAGAAATAAGCCCTATATAAAATATGGTACAAATCTAAAAACCCAGATGACAAGACAAATTATAAAAATTCCAAGAGAATAGCTAAAGGCGGTGGCTAGAGCCAAAGCTATGGCATACGATGACATGCATGAAGAATTACATACCAAAGAAGGGCAAAAAAATATACAGATTAGCCAAACAGCGAGAAAATAATTCTAGGGATATAAACGGAGCTTCGAAAATAATCAAAAATAAAGATGGGAAATTAATAATAAAGGAAAAAGAAATAATGAATAGATGAAAAAAAATATTTTCAGGAGCTTCTCAACTTTAATCCCCACATACTACATTTAGACGAACACTACCCATGTAAAAACCTTATACAACCAATAACAGAATAAGAAATAATCACTTGTCTCAAGCATATGAAAAACAACAAAGCTAGGGGTTCAGATGATATTCCAATAGAAAGCCTTAAAGCACTAGGAGAGGATGGAATACATCTCCTCACAAATCTGTACAATAAAATACTGGGAAATGAAGATATCCCTCAAAAATGGAGGCAGAGCTATCTAATTCCTATCTTCAAGAATAAAGGGGATCCACACAATTGTCAAAATTATAGAAGCATAAAACTAATGTTACACTGTCTTACTCTACAAAAAAAATAGAAAAGAGAGATAATAGAAATAGGAGAGACTCAGTTTGGCTTAATGCCTGGAAGATCAACAACTAATGCCATCCACGCAATTAGGCCAATGAGTGGAAAATATAGTGAAAAGAACAAAAAGCTACACATGGACTTTCTCGATCTAGAAAAGGCCTTCGATAGAATCCCAAGAAAATTTATCTGGTGGCGCTAGGCCACAAAATGGTTCCCGAAAAATATATAAGAATAATACAGGATATATATATGGGCCATACAACAATGGTCCGTAGCACAACTGGTTTCAACAGATTTCACAACAGCCGAGGGAGTTCATCAAGGGTCGGCACTCAGCTCACTTCTTTTCATAACAGTAATAGATGTATTAGCAGAGTCTATAACACAAGCATTCCCGTGGAATATGATATTTGCTGATGATATTGTGATACTTGCCGAATCCAAGGATGTAATGAAAGATTAGTGAGCTGGATAAATATCATAGAAAAGCACGGATTAAAAGTAAATAGAGAAAAGATGGAGTATATGGTGATAGTAGAAGATGAAACAGAGAGCATTGATATAAATGAATGGCAAATATCGGTTGAAAGCTGCAAATATTTGGGCGCCACGATACAAACAAACGGTAATAGAGAAAGAGGTAAAGAGTTAAATTAATCAAGGGTGGTTAAAGTGGAGATTTTTATCTGGAGTGCTCTTTGACAAAAGAATCCCACACAAATTGAAGGAAAAAATTTACAGTTCCATAGTACAACCAACTATTCTATATAGTTCGGAACATGGCCAACCAAAGAATCAGACGAGAGAAGTCTACAAACTATGGAGATGAGAATGCTGAGGATGATTGCTGGGGTAACAAGAAAGGATAAGGTGCGCAATACAAGAATACTAGGAAGTTTAAAGGTAGTGCCCATTAAGACTAAGATAATGGTAAAGACTTAGATGATAGGTATACAATGAGTAGGCCTATGAACTACATAGGAAATAAGGTTGAGAGTTTGGGAGTGATGGGTAAACGTAAAAGAGGAAGGCCAAAACTTCAATGGGGCCATAAAGTTAAAGCCAATATGAAGAATTATAAATTAGATAAAAGAGTTAGTATGAATAACGTAAATTGGAGAGAGATATTGAAGGAGCATACCACCAGAAAGGTGAAAGCTAAAGAGAAAAAAAAATAATATTAAAAGTTTTAAATTTCAGTGGATAATTTTGTCAGATTTTTTTTGACACTCATTTATATTAACGCCACTAGATCTTAGGTTATAGTCATGCCACTAACATTATTGTGGAAATATAAAAGATAATCTTTGAGGTTATGTCTTAATAGATCTTAGATTAGATATATTAATTGAGTTATATTGTAATGATTCATGAATAAAAATTGTATACTGATTAATATGGTAATAATATTAGATATTCTTTTTTGGGAACGCGTTCCAAACATGTGGAACGGAACGTCAAATATTTTTAACCAGAATTAGAATAGAATATGAACTAAAAACTTGTGATCCTGTACTACTGTTTTTTAAGCAAAATATTATGGCCTACTATAGTTTATGTTTGGAAATATTTTTTAATTTTGAAATTAAATTTCCCAAGTTGTCAAATAAAAAAAAGGAAATTTGACCAAAATTACACAAATATTGATGATTAGTTTATGAAATTCGCAATGTCATATGTAGATAAAAAAATAATCACGCTAACAGTTCTCAGCAAAAAATTAATAAGTAGGAAAGATGTTACATACAACCCTACAAGATTCGAGATGTTCCAATTTATTGATGTCAAATAGACAATAACGTACCCGTCAAAATACAACTGAATGGAATTCATTACCCCAAAAAATTTATTCAACAGGGGGGGGGGGATTACTTATCTAAAAATTGTTTGTAACATCTTTGCCTTGTTATATCTTAAGAATTACTATAAATCCCTGTTTTTTATAAAAATCCTCAAATAATATATTTAAAAATTTTGAGAAAATAAATTCCGGAGAATTATTTTCTAAGATTTATTATTGGGGATTTTTTTTTCCGAGAAATTATTTCCCGCATACCATATCACTAGATTTCAATTAGTGTTGTTAAATGGCTCGACTTAGTCAATTTTTATAAACTGCTAACTCGAGATTTTGTTTAAGAGTTATATTATCTAAGTTTGAAGATCTTTCCAACAAATGGTAGAAAGATTTGTTGACAAATTTCTAGGTATATAATAATATTTGACCAAAATCCTGATTTCGGCCTATTTAAAAATTGGCTAAATCCGTTTAACAGGGATACTAGCTTTATATGTTGATTCCTCATGTAACCCTAACATTTTACTGGGGTAATTTTTTAGACCCTTCCCCCTCAAAAGGGCCCTGACTGTTAAAAATTGATCGCTTTCGGGCGGATCTTTTCTCTTGAGAATTAAAAAATTTAGCATAGTTTTATTAGAACGCTACTAACGACTCCAAAATGCGGTAGGGAGTATTATTTTTTATATATTTTATTAAGGGCTGGATCGAATTGAATAAATTATTTATTTTAAATTGCATAAACTTAATATTATACTCTTGTTTACCATTTTTAAAAAAAAAGAAGTATATTGCTACAACTCTCCTTACTTTTTGTCGGCTTTAACTAGAATGGAATCGCTCATGCCTTTGAAAGGATTATGAATAGTCATTATATGTTGATAGAGTTGTTTAGGGAGGAAATGTTTGGCGCCTAAAAGAGATGAGTGCCTTTTTAACTCGTTTTCCTTAACATCTTTATCGATGTCATTGTTTTCGTCGTAATCATCTAATTGGTGCTGAGATAATACGCCGCTGTAAATAGTTTTCTTTTTAGGGGAGAGTTTAAGGGGGATAGTTCTACCAGACTTATATATATTGTGATCATTTGTTAGTGATAGGCTTCTTTTCTTAATATCGTCTGGATAGTAATTCGTAGAAATAGGAGTCTTGTTTAACATCGCTGTACCACCTTTCTTGATGTCAGAATCTGTGATTAATTAATCGAAAAATATTTTTAAAAAAGGGGTAAATATTATAATTGTGTACAAGAATATATTTTTTAAAAAAACATATTTTTTAATTTAAAACCTTATTTTTATCAGTCAATTTTAAGATGAAAAAGTTGCCTTTAACCATTTCAAAAATTTCCTATATTTCAAGAAAAAATAAAATCTTTGATTAAAAGAACATTATAGTTACTTATTCATATTTCTTTCTCACATATATTTATCATTTTAGTTATTTTAAAGTTAGATATGCCAACTAAAAAAAACTTATCTAAATCTTTTTAAGAAAAATAAATATAATTTTATCATTATTTATAAACAAATAAATAAAAACTTTGGCATTCATGACTCTTGGTGATGGGATGATGATATTTCTCTTTGAATTTCGGATTATAATCTCCTGCTTCTAACTTCATAAAATTTTCTTTTTCCATATTTTCGCTGACATCCTTGGAATAAGCCGGGAAAAAACTGTGCAAATAAGAACCACCCCCTCCTATGCCGTATCCTATGTTAAGCAACATTCCGCCTATAATATTAATCGCTGGTTTCATGTATCCCGAAGACGTTTCTTTTTTTTCTGTATTCTTCGGCTTGTGAAGTGATATCGTTTTAAATGTATCATTAATTGGTGGGCTGGTAATTGGTTGTGACGATGTCGAGGAGTCTAATATGGGAGATCTTTTTTTAGAGGCATAATGATCATTAGATATTCCAAGAGGAATACTACCGTTTGTATGATGGGAAGATGGGGACGCTTCTACCAGCGTAAATGATCTGGTGAATTTTCTTAGAGTATTCCTGGGTTCTTATATATATAATATATATTTGTATATATATATATATTTATATATGATGAGAAACGAATATTATTTAAAGAATTGTTAGATCTTAAAAGAAGAGTTTTTTATAAAAAAACTATAGAATGAATAATCCTTTCTTATAAATTAAAAAGATAAATGGTAAAACAATATCCCCGATAATATATTTTAAAATCATACCAGGTTATTATTAAGATATTCGAATGAATATTTATTTCGCTTATAACTGGTGTTTGTTTTAGCTAAAAAAATTATTTATAAATTAGTAAGAATATTATAATTTTCCTTGTAGCATAATGTTAAGCTTAGAGATATTCTGAAAAAAATGTTTTTCTTTAAACTATCTACCAAACAGGTTGTAGTGTAGCACTAAAGAAGTATGAAGTATGCATTAATTTTTAACATAAATTTCAGATATAATACTTCCAGATGTTTGGCTAACTTTACGCTTAAGACGTGACGTTATAGTTATTTTTTCGCCAAATATTAACGCAAACTTATATAGTTCAAACTCTTTATTAGCGGTTCTGGCGTAATGCTAGTTTCGACAATTATTTATTTTTTACCAAAAATTATTTTCCTCTTTAACCCAACTAATAAACAGAATAAAGCATAAAATATACAAATAAAGCCTTACTTAATGTTTAGGTATAAATTTTAGAATTAATATTTTCAAAAGCTTGTGACTTTCCGCTTAAAGCGTATCATCATAATTTTCGTTTTGTTTAACTCATTTTTTGTGGTTCTCATATTTGATTGAGGAATAATATGTACTAGTCAGGCACTAAATGTAACACCCTCTAGATATAGTTTTATTTATAATTTCCATTTTAGCACGATACCTATTTTAAAAATTTTCTTTTTTCTTTATACTGTCTATCAAACGGATTAAATTATTATACAATTAAGCTCTTAACATTGGTAAAATTCAGTCCCTTTATAACAAGGTCGGTGAAAATCTTGTTGCTATTAATTTTTTCCTTTATATACTTCCTATAATGAAAGTCAGACACTAATAAAATAAAACAATCCTATATTTTAGAATAAGAAATTCAACCCCCCCCCCCCACCATGGAAATACCCTGGCTACACCACTTATTCCAAGGCTAGGTAAGATGGGAAAAACATTAAGCTTAGTCAAATTTAATTATTGGCATTTATATTTATGCTAAACATTTTAAAAGATCTTACCATGACTAAACTATAAGTTCTAGTGCTGCCAGAACCAAAAAACCCAATTTCGATATCATATAATTTATTTCGGCAAGATAAAAAATATTGAAACCCCAGTCACAACAAAGGAGTTACATATTATTTTTTTTATAAAAATATTCTTATTATTTTAAAAATAATGAGTGGGGTAATTTTTTTCTCAGAAGCTTATCATATAACACTAGGGTTTATTTAATTTAACAATATCCCAAATATACTGCAAATATTATAAATTTTTGAAACTTTCTAGTATTTTCTTCCCAGCAATTTTATCCTTATTCGATTCCTCCTTTTTAGTCTTTAAATCGTAAACGTCACCCACAATAGATCTTCTCAAGGAGCCTCGTCCTTCTATAATATACAAATACTATATTGTTGAAAGAAAATATTTTGCAAATACAAATTTAATACATCTTTTCTTAGATAGAACTTTATTTATTAGAAGGTCTGAAAAGATTTTGGCATTATTAAGATTCTTTACATCATATCATGCAAAATATTTAATTAAAATATAAATAATTTTTATCTTATTTATAAATATTCAACTTATTTCGTTTCTCCTTGATACCGTATTTTTTTAAAACTAATTAGATCTAAAATTCTATAATAATAGCAACTTTATTTATATCTCACATTATATATTATACCCATTCATTAACAAAATTTGCTTGCTAAAAACAATATTTAGCGCTTACTTTTACTCATCAAAGGGCTCCCGCAATGAGAAGATGTCGAACCATATCTGGTAAAATGCTTTCCCGGCACAATCGTATTACCTTCCTTTTCTCCCTCGGGGGATGGCGTTCTCTTTGAACTGGTGTTTTTTCTAAACCACTCTATTCCACTTGAAATCCAATCTCGCTGGCTTTCTTTATTATTGATATTATTATTCTTGGCTTTACCTTTGTTACCATTCGTCCCAAGGATGTTAAAACCGGTACAGAAATTATTTTCCCCATTAGCTGTTCGACGAGTGAAATACATAATAACGGTCGCCACTATGAGTACACAAATCATAATAGATAAAGAAGAGTAAGTCGCTATCAAACCCTTGTGCAATGAAAAATTGTTAATTGGTTGAGGATGATTAGACAAAGGAAGGGAGTCCTTAATTCTTTTCATCTTTTCGGTGGAAACTAGGTTTGAAGTTTTGTAGTCTATTTGAAATATATCGTGTTTAATTATATTATTTTGTATTTATTTATTTATATTTTAATAAAACTAAATTATACATTTGAATGAATTATATTTAAAAACGAAAGGTGATTTGTATTTAAAGTTTAAAGAGTAACAAATAAATCGATTTTAATGATAATAAAGATAAAAAGAGAATGGGGAAATTATAAATATTTGAATATTAAAAATTGATAGAAAATTTTTAAAATAGAGATTATCCACTAATACTTATAATTCCACCTGACATCTATGATTTTATATAAGTTCTGTAGATTAATTATTGCCATTTTTGCATTATCGGAGAGTTTAATTATTCCTCTATTATATATAAACGACAGTGGAGCACTAATGAAATGCAATGTTGACGCTAGGAAGGCCCAAAAACATCAACGTATAAAATTTACGGATAATTTATTTGTAAAACTTATATATCTTTAAATCATAAATGAGCTTTTCAGTCAATGTGTTTAAATTTTTATCTATAAGATTAACAAAAGTTAATGCCAAGGATTGGGGAGTTGGTTAAACAGCTCGATATTTAAAAAACGGTCAACCCAATATTTTAACCAAAAAGTATTACCCACACTTTGAAATTTTGCTCATAGAAGACAGATAGGTTTGAACATCGCGTAATATTTTTTTGACTAAAATATGGATTAGCCGTTTTTTTTAAAATTCAAGCCGTTTAACAATATTACCAAGGATTTTCAAAAATACATTGTGAAATAGGTAGGGCCGGATATTTAAAATTTTTTATTTAGAAAAAACAAGTAATATTAATAGGCGTCATTTATAAATTTATAAATTTTTTCAACAGTTTTTGATTGGATTAATAAAAACATCGATATGAAAATTGGAGCTACCATAACTATATCTATCAGCAACATTACCCATGTCTCTCTCAGTTATAAAGGTTCCGGTCAAGAGCATTTTTAAGGTAGAAATTATTCTATCACCACATAGGATAATGGACAAAGATGTATATATAATCATGCCTTTATATACAGATAAAAATTGACAATAAAATTTTGAGTTATTTTTAAACTCTGTTTTTGTTCTTCTCATTCCATTATATCGATGATAAAATAAGATTAAAATTATTTATATAGAGATATATTGGAACCCTGTATAAAAAATAATATTAATTACTGAACAGTATCTGAAACTTTATAAAATTTGACCTAAACCAACCTAAGCCTTTATTTTATCTCTCTGGAATCTTAACCGATGCCTAAATATTACATCTCTTCCATACTTTTGTTAGTGAAGAATAATGTTATAGCAAAATAACAAAAAATTGTATATTAACATTATGCCAGAACCAAAAATATAAAGGCACTAAATCTGGTTAATAGTTAATTATTATCAATTTCGCCAAGCGAAAAAAAAATAAACAAGTTATAAGATAAATATAAATCGAGAAGGCACTTATTCTGAAACTTAAACATAAAAGGATTAGTTAGTATATTATGGTATTTCCATCTTTTTAGATAGATAGTTTAAGGGGAAAAGTTATTGGCTAAATAAAAGAAAAAAAACTAAAATGGACATCATACAAGAATTTAAAAATATAAAAACATTAAATGTCTGGTTCGAGTTGATACATAATTTAATTTAATTCAATTGAGCTTTGCCACCCTCAAAAACTAACATAATCGTCAAGCTGTAAGATTAGAGTCAATAAAACATTTGGAAGAACTAATTTCTAAAGCTTATTCCAATGAGTAGTGCTTAATAATTAGTATATTAATCCGTTTAGTCTATATTATTTAAGGGGAATGGGGGTGGGGGGGGGGGGTTATTGACAAAATAAGAATAAATTCCTAAAATTAGAATCATACCAAAAAGAAAATTGATACATATGATATGGGGTTTGCATTAATACCTAGTGCATGATTAATATTTATCATTTATAATAAATCAGTTTTGCTACCAATAAAGAAATCCGGTTATATCTATAAAAAAGAGCCAATCTTTTGGAAACATTTAAATCTGAAGTATAAACCGATATGTAATAGATAGTTAGTTCATTTTGGTTTATTGAATTAATTATTGGTAGGCCGCATAAACAAGCATATTAACAGAACGAAAAATATAGAAGCCCAAGTACTAAAAACAATTATATTAATAATAAATTGTTATTTTAATTGTATAAAAAATTGTTTTGAATTAACTAATTTATTTATTAAAACAATATATTAATATTAAATTGAAATCAAAATATATTTTTAAAAAACTAAGATTACTATCAATGAACTGTAGGGGAAATTTACCCTATAGAGTTCTTAATTCTTATAATGTTTAAAATGATCACAATTTTAATCATAAAAAAACATTATCCTCATTCTACTTACAAATTAATTACCCATATTAAAGATAAATATATTTATTATGACATATGTAAGAATTTATTTATATAAAGAATGTTTTCAATTATAAACCTTTATTAACTTTTTGAAATCACAATGTCAGAATTAAATTTTACTGCAATTTTCTCTAGTTAATTTTATGGGATTAAAAAAGCTTTATCATAGCCCTAAATGATGTGGATGATTTCATTAGGACAATCAATTTATTAGTTAAGTTATTTTCGATTTCACAGTTTCCTTAAAATTTTTTTGAGATCATTGCCAGAGATAAAAATTTTGCCTTATCAATTTATACATTTCAAATTTTTAATTTTCTCTTCTCCATTTTATGGAATTAAAAGAGCTTTAAATTATATCCTTAGATCAGGCGCGTAACCAATGGGGGGAAAGGGGGAAATTCCCCCCCCATCGCAAATTTGACTATTTTCATAAATATCATTTTAAGCTAATAAAAATTTTACCCCCACCCCCCAGACCCCCCCCCCCACCAATCAAAATTTTACAAATATTTGAATATCAATTTTCCAACATATTATTCAAAAATATTAATAAAATGTAAAAATATTTAGTCAAAGAGATCGAAATCAAACGATAATTTATAAATAAGGCTGAGCATGAAAAAAAGTAATGTGTCGTTAGCAGCGATATCATTATTGAATTCAATTGATCAATCAGAGTTTATCATTGCTGCTAGTTGCATCAATAAATTATTTTTAGCTCACTACTTTGTAGAAATTTACAAAAACCAAATTTAGATTTGGTTCAAGTTATTGATTTGGCGGAAAATATACATGAACAGGTAGATACAATAAGAATGAATGTAGATAAATATTTTCATAATATTTATCTAGACGTTGAATCGAAGGCTAAATTTTATGATATAATACTAATTAAACCTCGTCTAGCACCTAGGCCATTATTGAGATGAAAATAAATATTGGCTCAACTGAAGAATATTATAAAATATCCATTTTCATCCCATTCTTAGATACTTTTTTATAGCAAATAAAAGTACGGGTTTTAGATAAAAAACAAGTCTTTAGCAATCTTCAAGTTTTATTACCCAAAGATCCTTCTTCATTTTCTAATGCCACTATTGGTAAAATTAAATATTTAGAAAAATTTTATTCCTATGAGATTGATACTGAAATAAATTTAATTAGTGAATTCGAATTGTGGTATAAATATTTATACGTTTAGCTATTTTACCTGAGCATGCTATTGATGCGCTCAATCGGTGTAAAGAAACCTTGGCTCAATTTCCTAATATTTCGAAGTTGTTTTATATTCTTGCATGTTTGCCTATTACAACATGTACGAATGAAAGGACTTTTTCCAACTTGAGAAGGTTGAAAACATATTTACGAAGTTGAATCTTGGCTAAATGGGTCAGCTCTGTTAAATATACACAGAGATTTGGTTCCAAAGACAAACTAAATAATTAAAAATCTTGTATTTGATAAGAAGTTAAAAAAAACTTGTTAATTTAATTATTTTCTAGTCAATATTTTAAACTACTATTAGTATTTTCAATAAAAAAAATTATATTCTACTTATATTGTATGAGAATTTAAGCTGAGGCTAGTTTTTAAAGCAAATTTTATAAAAAAAATGACATTACACTTTATTTCAACTTTACTATAAATAAACCTTTACATTTAAAAAAACTTTATTAAATATAATATACCTAACTTGAAATAATAAAAAAGAGGCTTGTAATATCCTATCCATAAGCACGAATTAGTAAATAATAGTTAAAAATAGAAATATAATTATTATTAAATTATTCATAATTTAATAGAATAGCTAAATAAGACCCGGCCGAAGGCCGGGGGAAAGCTGACCGAAGGCCAGGTAAAAGGGGTTTGGGGGCGAAGCCCCCAAAAAAAATTTCCCCCCTATAAGAAAATCCTGGATACGCCACTGCCTTAGATGATGTTGATGAAGGAAGACCTATTTATTTTAACTAATAGTACGTCTAAAGATTAATTCATAAGAAAATTTATTTACTAAATTACATAAAAAATATTTGTTCAATATCTCAAAATGAGATTTTTTTAAAAAGAACGAGGAAGTCAGAAAACTCAATGAGAGCGATTATCTATTTTCTGTGGAAATTGGTCATAAAATATTATTTAATTTTATTATAAATATGAAAAATACAATATGAAATAATTGTAAAAGACCTATGTTAATGTTTCTACATATTTTAGTTATATAAATAATTAATTATGCACTAATTTAATAATTAGTATTAAAATCTCAATTTATTACCACATCTATTTAATGATAATATTATAAATTAATATCTAAATTATCATTTTACTAAACATTCTTAAGCTTATTTATCATTTTACTTCACCAAATGTTGTTTTGCAAGAGCTTTTCATTTTAATATTAATATGTGGATGTGTGAATTGTGGCCAATCTATACATGGCCAGTCAATACTCACCTCTCTATTATTATTAAGCGCCTTTATATGTATATTAAATAAAGCTTTTAAAGTTTAATTTTTTGTGTGAATAATGCTAAATGCCTAAGCATAATATTTATATAAAATATCAGTAATCTAAATTAGTAATTTTTTCACCAAACAAAAAAATGTGTAAGT